TTCATTCAGCAGCTTGCTGTGCTGGCCTGCCAATCTGGGACTGTTTCTGGTCTTGAATTAGTGGACTGACATGTTGTTTGATAATCTGGGGACTGTGCCATTTTATTTGTTTGTTGACCTTGGGTTTGTCAGCCTCAGCAGTCAGCAGCTGCCTGAGTGAAGAGATGCCAGGAGCAAGAGGCAGAGCTAAAGCTCAAGGCCTAGAGGCCTTCACCCAGCCCCTAGAGTTTGGCACTTTGAACTTGGCTTTCTAACCTCCAAAATTGTAGGAGAATAAATTCCTGTTTGTTAAAGCCATCCACTTGTGGTATTTCCTGTTAGAGCAGCACACGAGAACCAGACACAAAGATTCAGGAGCTTCCTGGTCAGTGAGAGAAGTTAATATGCCCTCTCTGAGACACAGCATCTCTGCATTGGGAACCTTCCCAGACCTTACTTGTGCATTGATTCCTTATAACAATCCTCATTTATATTCTTTTACTATAATAAAACCAGTGGTCATAAGTATAATGTCTTCTCTGGGTTCTGTGAGTCATCCTAATGAGTTAACAAACCCAAGGACAAAGTCCTTTTAACTTGTAATGTCTGACCTAGCCCTAGGTAGCTAGGGGCAGAGAGAGGGGGAGGGAGGGAGGGAGAGAGGGAACAACAGAGAGGGAGATTGGGATGGAAGGGGGAGGGAGGGAGGGACAGGGAAGAAAGGAGAGAGAGGGAAGGAGGGAGGGAAAGGGTAGCAAGAGACCTGTATTGGAAGCTGGTGTCAGAAATAATGGAAAAGTAGAGAGGCAGGGGTATGATTGATCTCCACCTTCTGGGAATTGGCTTTATGTTCATTCTCATCCATGCAGCTGTTGTCATATGGGTATAACACAGAGAGGTGGGTGAGAGCAAAGGTGCATTATAAGTAAATGGCAAAACCAAAGCCAAACTCACTGCCGTTGAGTCGATCCTGACTCATGGCAACCCCTCCTTGGGCTTCCAAGGCAGTATCTCTACAGAAGTAGATTGCCCAGTCTTCCTCTTGAGGAGTAGCTGGTGAGTTTGAACCACCAGCCTTCTGGTTAGCAGTCAAGTGCCTTGGCACTATGCTAACAGTACATGCTAAATCAAATCCAAAGGAACAATTAAAGAGAACCAGAAATGTAAATAAGACTGAATATATACTTGCTCCATCTTCTCTCAGCTCCTTTAAACAACAAAACATTACATAAATATAAAGAAATAATTACAACAATGTATTGTTGAGTTTATAACATACATACTTTTATATATAACAATATCATAAAAAGGAGGAAAAGAGAATAGATATAGTTTTAACTTTTCTATGTCTCACAGTAATTAAATTACCATAAATGAGAAGTAGATTCTGATAAAATGTATATGGTAAACCCTAGAGCAACTACTATGAAAATATATAGTGAAAAAATCATAAAAGAAATTAAAATGTTACATTATAAAATATTCACTCAATGCAAAAGAAAGCAGTAAAGCAGAAATAGAGTGGAAAATACATAAAACATAAAAAAGTAAAATGGAAGACTTATGTCCAACTATATCAATATTAAAATTAAATATGAATGGATTAAACAACCCAGTCAATGGGTAGATATTGTCAGGCTGGATAAAAACAATTATCCAACTAAATGCTATTTACATGAGACACTTTAAATCACTTTAGATTCAAAGAGACAACCAATTGAAAATAAATGGATAGAAAAAAGTTCTATCATGGAAACACCAACTGCACGAAAACAAAGTCCCTATACTAATGTCAGATAAAGTAGACAAAATAAATTATTACTAGAGATTTATAATTTTTTATTATTAAATCATTTATAGAGTTTTATTTTATAAAAGGTCAATCCATCAAAACATATAATAATTATAAACATATATGTACCTGACAGCAGGACTTCAAAACACATGAAGTAAAAGTGACAGAAAAAAAAGGACTATATAGGCAATGAAACAACACTTGTTGGACACTTCTAACCCATTTTCAATAACTGGTAGAAAAATTAAGCAGAAGACTTGAACAACAAATAAACTAACCAGACTTAGCAGACACTTATAGAACATTTCATCCAACAACAGCAGAATATGCAACCTCTCAATGGATTCATGACAAAAATTCTCTGTACTGTCCAGGACAGAGAATTTTTGTC